GTACAAGGCATTTCTGATTATTCTGTGCTGTTACAGACAAGAAGGTTCAGGAATGAGAACAAACCAGATGTCATTACTATTGCTTAAAACTCTTCTTTCAAAGGTCACAGATATTAGGAGTCTGGTTCAGTGAGAAATGCTACCTGCTTCTACAGGCTTCTTGCTTCTTTACTGTATCATTAGGACTGTATATCCAAATACAGCAGTATTTCCTTTCCCAGCTCAGACCATTTAAGCCTTGTAAGTATACATGTTCATCCCATGTCTTGTTTCAGATTTCTTCACCACTTTTAGCAAGGTGCAAAAGTTGTTTCTGCAATGCAATTCTATGAAATCCAAGAATTGTTCTTCCAAGCCTTTTATACTGCATTTGAAAAAAAACAACAGCTATTATATCTGAACTGCTTCAGAAACCAGTCTTGGTTTATCGACTACATGATAGCAATAAAGTTGACAAAGCTTTACTTGACAAAATAAAAAATCTCTACAGTTTCATCAGATGCCGCCTTAAAAGCAGAGTTAAAAATTATGTCTTTGGAGGACATCTGATGCTTTGTTTTGTACCTTATAACCACACCACAAATTGTGTCTTCCAAGCACTTGACTTGTATAAAGGCAGAAAAACAAGGCGTACACAGCTGCACAAGTAAAAAGGCACCTGAGATGGTTTTGTAAGTCCTCCTTGACTGGTCTTAAGAGGTTTGTGTAGTACAGGCTATTTTTAACCGTCTCTTGCTGTGTAAGGATGAACAGTGCAAGCACAGAGATGTGTCTTCTCTGCAAGACCTGTGCCTGCTGCGTAGGTGTACCTGCTGGAGATGTCCTTTTGTCAGGCAGGCATGAGGGAGGCAGAGGTATTTTTAGTATTCCTACATATATATTTTCTAATCCACGAAGGACAGAATTTTGGGACAAGGACTGTCATCCATTGAGTCACAACAATTGCCTGTAGGACAGTGTATTGTTTCCAGCCAGCGTTCAGCTTTCCATCAGTTCTCAGCAGCTCATTCCTTCCTTGGCTCTTAGTGAACACTCTACCCCAGTATTTCATCAGAAATGATCCTCAGACATTCTCCCACTGCCATGTCACAAGACTGCCCTCAGTTCTAGTGCCAGGGGCTCAGCCTTCCCGTTAAAGGTATCACCAAAGTGATATTTCTGCGGTGTTCTGCCTCCCCTGTGTCTCCTCCAGCTTGGGGCAGAAGTCACCCCACAGCTGCAGCAGGTGTTCAGCATGAGCCCCTCTGCTCAGCACTCCCTAAGATGTAGACTAGGTCTGCTTGTTTACACTTTGGTGCTGTTCTCAAGGCTTTCTCCCAAGGCCAGCTCAGGCTCTGGAGAAGGAGAACATCACACACAAACCATCCCTAATGACTGCCCCATCATCCTTCCCTCGCAGCCAGGGTGGGGCTGGGCTGAAAGTGAACATAAGGTCCAGAGGAGGGTTTAATTCACTGTCCCAATGCCCAATAACTGGATTAAGCAGGGCAGTTATCCTTCCACCCATAGATGTCCTACAACCATTGTCCCTCCAGTCCCTGTCTCCTCCAGATATTTTGATTCAGCCCATCAAATCTCTCCAGTGGATGCTAAATCCCACCCTGTTTTTTCATTTCTTTACTTTCCAGACGATGTTATTGTGGGTGGAAAATTATATTTTACCTCCCCTTCTGCCCTTCCAAGTTGGATTTATTGCCATTTGCTCTTTTTGGTGGCCAAATTGCAGTCCAGGGCTTATTAGCTCCTTCTCCTCTCCCCCCTCATCTTGCACCTGTCTTCAAAAGTATTTAATCTGATTTAAGCCATTCTTGAAGGCACTGATTTTGTCTGCAAAGAAGATTGCAACAGAGATTTTTGCACAGCTTATGTCAGAATATAATTTAAATAATGGCTGCCTTTCCTTGGCACCAGGTGATGCTTCATGGGACTGAGCTTTCGAATGCAGAACTTGGAAGGATGAAATATAGCACTAACCTTTAAGGCTTCTCCAGAAACTCAAAACATGGCACTGATCAAATGTCAAGAGCACTGCTCTTAGATATTTTATCAGGGTTATATTAATTGAAATCCCAAGCACTTTGCTACATATGCTAATCGACAATGTATCACTCAATCAAATCATTATCTAATGATTATTACTTATGCATTATTCTCCAGATGCATACTTTTGAATGACATTTATTTGAAAATATAATCAGGGATATGTGCATGCCTGTAGTATACAGCTTTGGTCTCAGCCACTTCAGTGTGCATAAACAGAAAAATAGCTAAGTTGGATTTAAAAGTACTTTGAAACATTTCTCTTCTGAGAATCAGGAGCCACATTCAGGACCTGCTTCAAAGAAGCCCTCAAGACCAGGGTCAAAAGCCAGACTACTTTGGTACTGAACCATACTGAGCTTAGTAAGGTCAGGGAAGAGATTATATGACACACTTCTAGTCTGGGAAAACCAAACTTGATCAGAAGGTATCTGTATTCCTGAATGTTTGTATCAAGTATGACTACATAATCAGGTTATCAACCCTTGTACAGTCCTAAATTAGCAGATCATGTCTGTATATGCTGATCTTAAGCTTGCACAATTCTTTTGGCTTAAAGTGGCTACTTAAGAGTATGAAGTTAAACAATCCTGTGATTGTAGTCTTCACAGGAGTTTTGCAAGGCCTTTGTTCCAAAACTGGTTTAATGCAAGTGGGTGCTTGAGCCCCAACTGGATCTTGAACCTATTCTGCATGTTCACACTTTTGTTGTACAATGTTTCCTACTGCCACAGGTAAGAGCACTGTTCACGTGAGCAAAGCTAGGGATAGATTTCATCTGGGAGAGTGTCAGGAATTGAAAAATGTGTTTACCTTGTGTAACACTGTCTTCAAATAAACATCAGTTGAAAATGAAACATTTTCTGAAAGGGTTTGCTGTTAAAAACTGTGTAAAACCGTATTTTGTTCAACTGCTGGATCCAATGACCAATCCAGCCTGCTCTGTAGCAGGCTGCTGTAATTTCCACCCTCCTCATCTGGTCTCCTAATTGGATTCTGTAGGCTCGTTACATCCAAGAGCTCAAACTACAAGTAGCACTGACTGTACCCCTTCTGGGTGCAGCACTGAGGCTCCTTAGGATGAAAGGATGGGAAGGCTTTCTCAGAAGTGAGCTGGGTTTTTACTAATCATAAAAAATTTCCCAAGAGAGCTTACAGAATAAACCAAATTTCAGTGCATGTGCTTTATAGACATCCTGATAGTCCTTTAAAGCTCATCAGTTCAATGCCAACAATTGTTTGTAAACAACTTGATGATAAAATTGCTACAGTGCAGCTTTGAAGGAAGGTATCCAGTTGACACGTCAGCAGAGGAAAGGTAATTTGGAAAAAGTCCACTACTGCCCTGTCATCAACAAAAATTCATGTATTCAACCTGTACCAACACCAGCTCTTCTCAGACTGACTGCTTCTCCCAAGAGTCCAGAGACAGAAAAAGTAAAAGCCTTATTACACAGAAAAACCACAGCAGGCAGCAGAGTGTGTGTGTATCTACATACACACGTGTGCATGTGAATGTACTGCATAGGTACAAATGTGTAAGTAAACATAACAGACTTGGAAACACTGGAATTCAGCAAACATTCTAGTAGAGCCTTACCACGTGTCATTCCTTCATGTGGTAACCTTTATGTACCACTTAGGTTGTTTACCCAATTTTCGCTAGAATAAGTTGTCGGGCCTGTTTGCTCAGTTTCTCAGACCAGGTTTGAAGTCCTGCTCTCCTCTTTTAGAGCAAGATGTGCCTATGACTCTGCAGCTCTTGAAGCACAACTGGATTTGACAGTAGTAAAAAGCAGTGCTCCTAAAATATTAATGTAACCATTTTGCTTAAAACATTTGAAGGTCATCAGACTTTTAAAAATAGAAGGAAAACAAAATCCCAAAAGAAATTAGCGTGGTTTTCTGTTGTTCTTTATGGGTGGTTTTTTTCCCCCTTTCTAACTACAGGGAAGAAAATATCAGGAAATGTTTGCAAACCCCAAGCTTAAAACTCTCCTGTAGTCCCCAAGGTTCTGCTTCCACGTGCATGAATCGATCTGATCACAGTGTGTTGTTTGAAAAGCCATTACTGGGATTCATCTTGATCAGTTATGGCTGCTTCTGTGTTTTACATTGGTCAAACCATGCTCTGAGTGAAACGTAAACATCCTTTTCAAATGAGTTTTACAGTAGGTTTGGGGAAAGTTTACCTTAGCCAGTCTTCTCCTCCACCCTTCTCTTTGCCATATGAGCAGGGCACATTTCTCATGCCGATTAAAGTGATTTGTGGAGATGAACCTGTAACATGTATATTGTAACAGCCAGTATTTAATTTCATGGTGGAAACATTTCTTATGAAAATCTGGCAATGCTCTGGCAGATTTTTGGGAAGAGGATGCAGAGTAAAGAGAGCAGAAGGTAAAAAGAAAGAGATTTTTTAATAGTGCTGCCATTAAATATGTGCATCCATCTTCACTTAATAATGTTCTTTTTAATTGTCCTCCACTGGGCTTTCTCTCTGACAGATTACAGAGATCCAGAATATATCTGCTGATCTGCAGTGACTGTACTGATATGCACTACCCAGCAGTCTCAGACCAGATGCTGGTGAAACATTCTGCTCTACAGAACAATACCAACTGGTATTTGCTCGCTTTGAGTTTACCTCTCTTAAATACAGATGTTGAATGAAGGCCCTTGACTACCAAACACAGGTTGTGCTCTGGCTGCTGGAAAAGTGGCTTTCTGCCCTCTCACAGCAGAAGTGCTGATAACACGCAGTAAGCATAGTCAGCATCAATGAGATGATGGAGTGTGAAACCATATGAAATAAAGGTGATTTCCCACACATCCCCAGCACAATAGCTCAGAAGAGATCAGGAATGAACCTCACTTGCTGTTTGTCACCTGACAGGACAAGTGATGACTGCCATAATACCTTAATGCTTCATCTTCCCAAGGGCACCAAGTCTGAGAGCTCCCAAAATTTACTGTTTTATTGTTGACTATAGACATAAACAGTAACCCAGAAGCAGCTGACACACTACAAAGTCAGATTCCATTTATGTGGCAATAATGCATCTTGTAACCATATTCAAGACATTCCCATGAAACACTGGCTTCATGGCATATGCTGCAATTCAGAAGATCTCCATCAGCAGATGGAGTAACCCACTGACTTGGGAAGCCATGGGAACAGAAACTAAGACGAAATATCATGTTTCCTGTAATGGAAATCAGGAGAAACCCATTATGAAAGTGGCAGTTTGTGGAGCCCAACATTGTGCTCCCTCGTATCTGTTCAGTTACCTACCTGCAATGAGCATTGGATACAGCCTTGAAGTGGCCTATGGGAAAATAAAACCAAGAAAACCTGAACCCCCTTATGCAAACCCAACTTTTTCCAGAGAATCACATGAGTTATATTTTATCCTGTTTTCTCTGAAGCTTTTACAAGGAGTCCTCCCTAAGGAAGAATTATCTATTATGCCAACTCTCAAATTTCTGCTCCCATCTCATCAGCTGTAAAGTTATTCTGAAACACATGTCAGCAATGACTTTATAATGGAAACAATACAGCTTTTTTTTATCCTTCACATCTTGCTAGGAAACTTTTTTTTTCTGACTTAAACTGACCTCCAGGCAAGGTTTCTACCACTGTTGAAACTCATCCCTCCCCAGATGCCAGAGGTTCTATTTGCTGCACTCTAACACCCATAACAGGTTCTTTTCCTCTCAGGCTTTTATCCCATGGTGCTCCTCATTATTGTTTCAATAAATACTTTTTCACAACAGTTGTGGAGGGTCAGGAAGTTATTACTATCTTTCAACGATCTTGCAAAAGAGTGTTATCTATCATGACCAGGAAACCAAAGGCAGAAGGAGTGAAATAATCAAGCTCCTCCATGTTCTCTCTACCAGGGAGCAGACTTGGTTTCCAGTAGGACCATCCCTCATTCTGTATGTGTCACAAAACTCGGGACAGATTCAGATACCCAAGATACCAGTTTGCCAAACCTTCTTCCAAGGATGAGGTAGGCAACCCAAGAGCAGCAATCAGATATGACCACATTACACAAGCCTATTATAGTGAAGCCACACATAGTCAGAAATACTTCTGGGCTTTCACAGACATGATCTAAAAGGAGAGCAGCCCCCAGCAGAGGATGGTACTGGGATGAGACCTGTGGCTTATGCCACAGCCTCCTTCCTCTCAAGTCTCTGTGACTAAGGGGCTAGGAAATTTGAAATTTAATCTCTGGCCTAAGGAAATTTGATTTGTCTTTAAAGAGGCTTAGATCTCCTCTCACAGTCAGCAGCCCGTAACCCGCAGTGCATACAGGGTAATACAAATGCATGTGGAGAAATAAGGAAGCATTGAGAAGGCAGAATTTTGGGGGAAGCTCTCATACCTTTTCTGGGAAATCAGCAGGACTGACTGTCCCCTTGAGGTGCCTGTACACTGACACATGCAGAATGGGGAGCACACAGGAGGAAATATGAGATCTGTGATCTGATTGGGATCATGGAGACATGATATGACAGCTGAATGAATGCTGTGGTTGGATACTGGCTCTCCAGAAAGGACAGGCTGGGAAAGCAGGGAGGTGGTTTGTCCTTCATGCGCAAGATTGGGGACACTGGATAGAGGTCTGCCTGGGGTGGACAATGAGCCAGCTGAGAGTTTATGGGTTTGAATAAGAGGGCTGACAAATGTAGGTAATGCTATGATCAGTGTCTGCTACAGACCAGATTAGGAAGAGTATTTCCCCCTGGTCTTTGGTGCCTGTGATTTGTGAAGGCAAATCTCATAAAGGCCAAGGCAAAATGGACATTGTTTGTCTTGATGTTATCAAGGTTTTAGATGTTGCTTCCCAAAACATTCTTATAGGCAAACCAGTGAAGTACGAACAGATAAACGCACAGTGAGGTGTGGATCAGTGGCACGAAGTCCAAACAGAGGCCATTCACTAGTTGAGTACCCCAGGAGTCAATACTGTCAAATATCTTCATTAATGCCATGGACAACAGGAGAGAGTGCCCTATCAGCAACCTGGAGAAGTGGTTGATGCCCCAGAGTGTTTTGCTGACATTCAGAGGTCAGTATAGGCACAGGCTGGAGAAATAGGCAGACAGGAACCTCATGAGGCACCAAGTCCATCAACTGGGCACAAATAACTTCAGGCAGCAGAGCAGACTGGGGGGCAACTCTCCGGAAAGCAGCTTTACAGGAAAGGACCTAGGGGTCCTGGTGGACAAGCTGCCCATGGGCCAGCAGTGTGCCTTTGCAGCAAAGGAGGCCACCAGCCTCCTGGGCTACATTAGGCAGAGCATCACCAAAAGGTTGAGGAAGGTGATCCTTCCCCTCTGCTCATGACTGGTATCCTGTGTCTCATTCTGGGCTTCCCTGTACAAGACAGGCATGGACATAATGAAGTCAGTCCAGCAAAGGGCCATGAAAATTATTAAGGGACTGGAGGATCTGATGCATGAAAAAGCTGGGACTTTGCCACAGGGGAAGAGAAGGCTCAGGAAAATCTTATCAGTGTGTACAAATAAACACCTGATGGAGAGAGTAAAGACAACAGAGACACTCTTCTCTGTAGTGGCCTGTCACAGGAGAAGAGTAAATGGACACAACCTGAAATGCAGAATATTACACTTAAACATAAAAAAAACTTCATCACTTTTTTTACTGTGAAGCTGCTCAGACAACTGTGCAGGTTGCCCAGAGAGCATGTGGAGTTTCCATTGCTGAAAATCTTCAAAAGTATGCTTAGGACACAGACCTAGGCAGTCTGCTGTAGCTGACCCTGTGCTGACCAGGGTGGGTGGACTAGGTGATCTCCAGAGGTGCCTTCAAATCTATGCTGTGATTCTGTGTTCCTATGATATTTCTTGCAGGTGTCTCCTCTAACCCTCAGCTCCTGGCCCATGGGGCAGGCAGTTGAAGAGTAGCCTGTCCCCTCTTCAATTAAACTGAGCTGTCATCAGTGCCAGTGGCGCCACTCACACTGATACACCCATAGGATGGCTGAGGAGCTCATTGCTCAAGTTCTGCTGCCCCTGCCCAGGGACAGCAGTGTCTATAGTGCCAGAGCAGTAACTCTCTACATCACTCCAGATCAAATACTCAAGAATATGTCAGAGCATTTTCTGGTTTGGGCTGAAGCAAGTAGAATAGCTTAATAAATCTATAGAAAGAAAAAAAAAAGGCATCCTTATCCTTTTTAGCCAAGCTCTCTTTTAGCTGTCAAGATAAGATGGACTAAATCCAGAGGACCTGCAAGTTTTCTTTTTTTGGTGGTAAAATCTAAGCTGTTGTTAAAAACATCGGTGGAATTTAATAGGCTTAACAGCAACTCCTAAATTCCTCAGGAGGGCTGTGAATTCGGAGTTCAGATCTATGAGAGCTAGGAAGTGCTTGGCACTTTGTCAGCATTCAGCTTGTTAGCGTTTGGAGAATGAAAATCACCTTTTTGTTCAACTTCCCTTGGTAGCTTGCCAACCTTCTAGTTACTCACTAAGTCAACTGTCCCTAAAAGATATGCTCTCTGGTCTAAGCCACAGGATTCAAAACACAGCTTAATGAGTAAGCAGCAAGACAAGGGGAATTATATCAGGTCATAACATCTCCTCAACAGCCAGAGGCAGTTCAGCCCCTTGACTGCACAACATCCTAACTAGTCATTGGGGTTTGCTCAGTGGTGCCACTACCTTGCAGGCACGGAGTCCTCCCTCACCAGGAAGTTGTCTGGCCTGTTTCCTTCTGGAAAGCAATGGGCAGGCAGGACACAAAGTGTATGTAGTATGGAGGAATGGACTGAGGAGAGAAAAGTCAAATAATAGGAGTAGGTGGATGAGCAGCTGGCAAACAACCCCTAGCCATGAAATGGCTTTAGCAGACTTCTTAGAGTGGTTGAAACATCTCCCTCAAGACAGCCTCATCGTGACCATGATGGTTCTGTTCACATGGCTGAGGTTTGCTAAATTTGCTCTTCTGATACGGTCACTTTGATTAACACAAATAGTCCATGTGTACAGGTACAATTACTACCATCTGAAGAGGTGCGGGATAAAATATTCTTGCACCAGTTGCTAGGAACACTGGATTATAATCACAGCTATCACTAGTTTCCCCCCTTGCTCTTAAAGAAAGAAATCTCAAATTTATATTTACTCTATTGGCATCCAAGCCCATCACTAGAGAAGCTGTACAATGATCAGAGCTGCCAAAGCCATGGCCAAGGCTCAGCCAGAAACTCCCATGGCACACACCACAAGGGATGGGAGAAAACAGAAGTACAAGGCAAAGGAGGAGATGTTCCCAAACACACTGATTGCTCTGTAACGTTAAATATTTTTCAGTCACCTTGACAAATTATGGAGTGTTCTCTATTTAACATTCATCATTTACTATCCCATCAATCACAGCAAGTGAATCAGTAAATAGCTGTGATGAATGGAAGATGCATGTCAGCAAACACTGATAATTTTTTGAAACAAAACTCTGTCTAGCTCCAGAGGAAACACTCCAAAAAACAGTCTTCCCTCACAGATCCAAGCAAAATGTGTCGAGAAACCGGGACTTGGCTGGTTCTCCCATGTTTAGGAATTTGGGTGATTTGAGATGCTCCACTCTTATTTCAAGTAGCAATGTAAGTTTGCTTGTTCTGTAGCAAAGCATGTATTGGTGGCATCATTTCCCTTGAATAGCCCTTTCGTCTGAAATGCAGCTCGTGTTCCCTTCAGCATGACAAATAACACACTTCATCCCCCCCTGGAGCCTGGAAATTCTGAGATGAGATTGGCACTGCAATATAAAGACAGATACTCTCAAAAGGGAGACAAAACCGTTTGGATTGAGTGGAAATAATCACTGACACTTCTAGCTACAGACAGTCCTCTGATTTCAAGCTGTATTTCAATGTAAAATGGCTTTCCCTCATCACGTCTGTACAGCACCTAGCACAACTGCATCCTAATCTTGATTCTGGGTTTTTGGCACTGCAGTAAAACAAACACTGAGCTTACAAAAAAATGCACAATCATGTGTTCTTGCATGAGCTATCCATGCCTTCAGTATAAATTAAATACAGACATGGCTCTATGTACAACTTCAGCTTTGGACATTAAAAAAATAACACTGTGTCCAGAAGAAAACTTTTCTCAACTAACCCTGGATTTCAGAGCCAGACAAGTTGGGGGTTCTTTTTAAAAGATAAAACACACAGGTGGTCTGCCATTTGCTGTGGGTACATAAAAGGAGTATTACACAGACAGTGAAGGAGAAATGGATGGATCTGGCAGATGGCATTGTGCTCAGGGTTAGCCAAATCCCCTCTCAGG